CATTACAGAGATGCACATCACCTAATATGCTTAATTGGTAGTAGGCTTTCGAGCCTATACAGCTTGGAGTAAGACAACATGCATGAAGAGGATGAAGTGGACAAAATACTCATTTGCCTAATAATTCTGCACTGCCTGTACAATGCTCAGAGAAACTTTAAAAAATCCACCTCTCAGAGTCTGCAGGCCTTGGTTAGCTTGTTAAATGTTAAAGCTCATGAAAATTACAATTAGAAGAAGCCTGAACACTTATGGATTGTTTGGAAGGCCTCTTTTCTCCAAAAAGGACATAGTACCATAGCTTAGGTTTGAAAAGTTCTGAAGAAAGACTTCTGGAACAATGGCCTTTGGGACAGACGAGTCCAAAGTGGTGATGTTTAACCTCCTAGGACCTGGCATCCACATATGTGGACATCACATTTTGGGTTATTTAGACCAAAATACTCAATTTTGCTCTACAAGGGCCTGATATCCACTTACGAGGACATTATACTGCTACTGTTCTATCAAAATTTTAAACGAATATCCTCATATGTGGCACTTATTTTTCTTAAAAACAAAAATGGTAAAAAAAATCTGGTAATTCTTTGTTTTGACGTTCTTAGGCCCCAATCAGCCCAAATATCAAAGAGAAATTAAAAATGCATGCCGTGGAAGAGTTCGGGTCTTAGGAGGTTAACATAAGGCACAGCACCACGTTGGGAGAAAACCAAATCAGCATATCAGGACAAACACCTCACAAACTGTCAGCACGGTGGTGGAGGGGTGATGATTTAGGCTTGTTTCGCAGTCGACCATGAACTCCTCTGTGTATCACAGTATCCTAGAATCAATGTGAGCTCATCTGTCTGACAGCTAAAGTTTGGCTGATCTGAGTCATGCAACAGGACAATGATGCCAAGCACGGCAACAGAATAAGTGAAAAAGAAAAAACCTCAAGCTGATGCGTTGGCACTATCAAAGTCCAGACCTCAACCTGATAGAAATGCTTTAAGGGGGGACGCACAGTAAATCTGCCTGGGACAGCATCAAACTCAGCTTTCTGCAAATAGCCTTGCAGCATATGGGTCACCTGCTCAGCCCAGTGAGCTACACTGACACTCAACAAAATGATTGCTGCTCTGAAAGCGAATCATGGGATGTTCTTCATTTCTCACACACTGCTTCTGCTATTCGGCTGACAGTTTACCAAATAAAAAAAAAAAAAGTGTAATATGTCGTGTGTTGTTGTTCTTCTAAAGCTGTGATTGCCTCATTTGAAAACCTGCGAAGGACCAGACAACTGCTTATCATGTCCTGATACGTAGATTCAAAGTCTGTAACTGTTGACTGTAATATATATACTTTTTCTGTCTTTGTGCACTATAAGGTGAGTTAGTTTAAATGGTTATTCCCTTATACATTTTTTGTGAGCACGGATAAACAACAAGAATGCAAAAATTAGACAATGGTTATGTGCTTATTTGAGCACCATAAAAAGCCCTGAAAGTGATAATGTAAATTAGACCAGAGCACTGGCCTGGAGCATTTAAAACAGGGATGCAGCTGAAAGAGGAACTGGTCTGTGGTGGATGTCATGTCTGTGAAAGGTGATGAAATGAACTTTGACAGTTTACCACAGAGGCGAAACTTCTTCATTGAATATTACAGGCCTTGCAGGAAATATGGGCTTTAAATGTAAAACAATTACTGAGGCATGAAATTCACGAGTCTCCTTTCTGATGTGCAAGTGTGGAGGGTTGTCAGGTCATTTCTTCAAAACACAAAGAACTGCAGGTGACAGTGCTTTTTGTTTTCGGTTTGTGCAGCTGAAGAGTCGGACGTCAGCAGTTGTGTGTTTCATCGACTGCAGCCGCACTTCCTTTTACCCGGTTTGACTGTTGGCTCAGTGCCAAAGGGCATAGGGTCATAAATATATATATAAATAATTCTAATTATTTTTAGCAGGTCTCCAAGTGACAAACAGTGAATTCTTCAGGGGGGAAGCTTTATATAAATTAAACAAGACTATACTGTGGGATTGGGAATTGACAGTTTATTGATGAATAAATTTAGTCTGCACAGGTTCCTCAGATTTCTTGACTATATTTTCTGAGCTTCGGGGCTGTTTTGTTTTGTTTTGCAGTTACACTGTGACTATCTTCACTTCTATGACACTCAACTGTTCTCAGTTTCATGGTCAAGTGAGGCCTTTCCCTCATTATTCCATGAAACATTTAGCAGAGAAAAGATTCCAAGACTTGAACTTGGATTTTGGGAGCTGTTCACTGGAAGTTAGAACGTGATGTCCAATAATGGAAATGAAGGAGGACTTCAACAGTTCAAACCAAATGAAACCTAACAGAGAGATCATACCACCACATCATCTAGCAAACATGGTGGGGGATTGTTATGTATGCATGCATGCATGCTCACTGGTGTTTATTAATGTGACTGCAGATAGTCGTAGGATGAATTGTGAGGTGTACAGGGCTGTACTCTCTGCTCAGAGTCAGACAAAACTGACTGGACTGTGCTTCAGAGAGGACATGGATAAATAAACCAAAGCAAAATGCAAAAGCAGTCCAAGAGTTTCTCAGAGCAAAGAAATGAGATATTATGAGATATATATGAGAGACTGAAGACAAAACTGAAGGCAGAAAGACCCTCAAATAAAGCAGGTGGTCTTTAATTGCAAAGTATTTCAAATATGAATAAAAATGATGGCAATTCCTAAACAGTTGATGCAAAATTGTTTTTAAACCCCTTGAAATAAACCCAAAATTCTGCACTTCAAATTGATTGTTTGATTTAGAAGCCGATGTCACTGTGTACAGATGCCCTAAAATATGAGGGGTCGTAAGATGTTTAATGAGTCACAAAGAAGGAAAAATAAAAGTTCAGCCCTATAAATTTTCTTTTACTATATTTTGTTAAGTTTTGTTCCTCCTGTTTTCTGGTTTACTCGAGTGAAGTACAATGTTCACTTTTGAATGCAGTCCCAAGAGTTTCAGTTTCAGCTGAGATTTATATTGGTTCTTCTGTTCTCACAACAGTTTTGCTTTTATCTCACAGGTTAATCATTCTCTGTTTGGGTGAGTTAGACTGACACAGCGAGTACCTCAAACAGAAAGGTTGCTGTTTTATAACTGATCTTTACTTCCCTCAGTATCATCATATCCATATCATGGTCATACATGTGACGGTATCTCAAAAACAAAGGCAAGAATTCTGCTAAAGTATAAAAAATGTGAATTCCTTGCAAACAACTTTAAACAGATTATTTAAAATGACTATAGCCTGCAATGGTATGAAGATAAAGACAGTGCAGTGGGGGGATTGGTATTTAAATTTAATATGATGGATAAAAGAAGACTGGAACATTTTCCTCTTCTCTCATAAAAGTATTTTTTTTAATCATATTTGATGAGTGTGAAGGCCCGAGGTGACGAATGAATCTCACTACCTCTCTCCCAGCAGCCGCTCAGTCTGCTCTCACTCACAATTGTTTAACCTGCAATAGCTCAAAGTAAAGGAGTTATTTGAATTTGAATGTCTGTATTATGAGAATAACTGTGCATTATATATGTAAGGTCTGTGGAATAAACCTCAGGAGTTTACATGCATCACGCACACACAATGACTC